CTTAACGTATGCCCTGCATACCAAGTCTGACCGCTACTCACCACGAGAGTGCAGACATTTGGACTATATCTCCCAGTTCACGACAGACCTTCGTCACATTAAAGGCGAGTCGAACTATGTTGCCGATGCTCTTTCACGTATCCAGACGAATGCAGTTACTTTAACGGTGCTCGATCTTCCTGCTATGGCCGCTGCACAAGCAAACGATCCTGTCTGTACAGAAGCACCACAATCTTCGTCCCTTCAGTGTCAGGAAGTACCCCTAGCTACTAGCTCAGGTGCTATCCTATGTGATATTTCGACCGGTCTACCTCGACCCATCGTACCCTCTACCTATCGCCGTCTCGTCTTCGATGCCCTTCATGGATTGTCTCATCCAGGTATCGCAGCCACATTACGCCTCATCGCTGCACGATACGTCTGGCCGTCCATGAATAAAGATGTTCGTATGTGGGTAAAGCAATGCTTACAGTGTCAACGATCAAAAGTGCACAGGCACGTAGCTGCCCCCATCGGCACGTTCGCTACGCCTGATGCTCGCTTTGATCACGTTCATATAGACATTGTAGGACCATTGCCACCATCGCATGGGTATGATCACATACTCACGTGCATTGACCGTTTTACAAGATGGCCCGAAGCTATTCCCATCACGTCTATCACGGCGGAGACAATTGCTCACCGCTTCGTAGAACGATGGATAGCATTGTACGGTTGTCCCTCGACTGTCACGACCGACCGAGGACAACAATTTGAGTCCGCATTATTCTCCTCACTGACCCGGCTGCTTGGTACGGAACGCATACGCACTACCGCCTACCATCCAGCATCGAATGGTTTAGTCGAACGGTTTCATCGACAACATAAAAGTGCTCTCAGTGCACACAAAAATGATAATTGGTACGAAACCTTACCGCTCGTTCTCTTAGGTATCAGAACGAGTTTGAAGGCAGATATTCAATGTTCCGCCGCTGAACTTGTATACGGCACGACATTGCGTCTGCCCGGGGAATTCTTCACACCACGGAGCAGTAATGATTTCGGTAAATCAGACTACGTCCATCGACTGTCTGCATTTAGTTCATTCAAACACCACATCCGCCACAGCTTAAATTAGAGTCTAAGTGTCTGTAATCAACTGAACCTCTTCTTTTCAAGTTCATACTGTGTCTGTCCGACAATGTATTGGATAAAGACTCTGTATTATCTAGAATGCACTCATTAGTATAAGAATTAACAACTGAAATCGGAACAGACTCACTTGATTTCTGGGATTGTGAACAATCACCATGCCGGTTGAATACCTGAACTACTACCTAGAATATGAACCACAGACTATCCTCCCCCACGAAATAATGTCGGATCTTCATATCCCCAAGTTATGAATAATGTGGCTTCATTTAAAACATCTTTCTCAATTTGACTACAGTAAACATTGGAAGTGAATTTATGATAAGGACAAACAACAGTTGATATGGAATTATCTGAATTGTAATCAAACTCTAACTCATTTAATACTCGTGCTTCGCATTGAACAAATTTCTCACAAGAAAAAAATGCATCATGAGGACAAATAATATTTGATATGACATCAAGATTTGATTCTTCTGAAATAGTTACCTCAAATTTATTAAGAATGTCATTGCAGAGCAAAGGATCGTTAGAAAAATCAGCATCAATCAAAACTACATCAGATTTTCGATCATGATTAAATTCATCCGAAATATTCTCATCAGATTTGTAAGAAATTTCATCAGAAATATGTGAATCATTAGGAAAAATCATATCTGGTACAATAACATGAGAAATCTGATAGGTTGATTCATTAGGAATTCTTGTCTCGCAAGAATCCTGAGTTTCATTCAACTCTGAACTGCTATATGACTCTAAACTGTCTTTTGAAATCGTCGATAAAGATAAATGATCATTATAAATATTCAGATTAATAGAATCAGAATCAAAAGACTTAATACTAGTTGCAGCAAGATGAACAGTAGTATTATACACTGACTGAATATGTCCGACATCACCACATTTACAGCACTTACAATTACGAAATTTACATGAATTAAAAGGGTGGAACTTGCCACAAGAAAAACATTGACTAAACTTGTGCCCGTCTTCGTGAACTGCACAACCTTGAGTATGCACTGGGATGGGGTGAAGTAATATAGTGGAATTTTTTATATCCTCATAAATTATTTTACGAAATCTCCCTTTACCGCATTCGAAATTTGTATACTTAGCATAGTCTAGAAGTAGTTCCTTGAGAGTTGTATAAGGAAGAGAAACGGGCTTTTCCGGTAAAGCCAAAAGTTTTATTAAGCTATATGCTTCTTTTCCGATGAATGTGAGAAAATGTGCCACAATATTAATATTCTCATCATCTTCCTTGGTCATAGCCAAGATTTCGAACCTTTCAAAGTAATCCTCATAAGCATCAAAATCCGAATGAATATCTAACTGTTCCATCGCAGGTCCCATCGCGACGCCAATATGATAATTAGAAGTAATTGAATTATAGTATGAACTAATAGTCCCAGAAATCACGTGAGTGGATCAAGAACTACTAGATAAGCACGAACGAATGTATTGTATTTAGAATTCGAAATCAGGCATTCAACAAGTACAAAGGAGTCATTAGTTCATTCAAACACCACAGGTTGTTTGGAGATTGAACTCAAAAACACAGGGGAGGGTGAGGCAGTAATTGAACGAGGTTCGGAGATAGATAAGATGGATTATGTGGTTGTAAAGGGTTTGCATCAGATTGCCGGGATTAAAAACCAACATTATGGTTTACGTAATAATCGAACAGGATTTGAAGAGTTTACATAAGTTGGGAGAATTATGTGAACGAAAACTTATGAATGAAGGTATGATTATGGTGCACATGAAATAAGAAGTAGTCTAGCGAAAACCACACAATAAAATAAACACTAATGAAACAATGACAATAATTATGGTGATAACAAAAAGTAATAATTTACTAAGGTGGTGATAAGTCGATTATTGTTTTTTTCTGAATGCATAAACCAAGTTCGGGCTTTTATAATGCTAGTGCTTCGGCGAACCAGAGAGGCGCTGATTTCTTGTCTGCTAATGATTTCTAAGGATTGTGGAATGCCAATGGTATTCCTGGTGTCAATGAAATTCCGAGCTATTGCACCATTTAGAGTCGTTGCGCTTCTCAGTTTCAAATTCTTTGGAACGTGCTCGGAAATGTGAACATGTGGTCTCACTCTGTTCTTTCAATTTATGTGCTTCATTCCTGAGAGTAAAACCTTAAGCTGTCAATGAAATGATTCTCCTAACTTGCTTGCTTGTGGGTATTATGAAGTCGCTTTGATCGTGTAATTTCTAGTAGTCTGGTCAGACAACGGAAAAGTACGGATTCGAACCGGTGTTCACGGTCTGTAGTGATAATTGAAGGGCAGCGGAAATTTGCTACCCATTGAAACGTTAGTCACTGTTTCAGCATTAATGTCCTTGATGTGTACTGCTTCTGGCCATCGAGTGAAACGGTTTGCATAACTTAAGAGATAAGAATGTTCATTTGAATCTGGCAAGGGTCCTACCAAATCCAGATGAACACGGTCGAAACGGGCGTCAGGAGTTTGAATTAGGCTAAGAGATATTTGTCTTGTCTAATTATCTTAGATTTCTGGCAGCTGACACAGCAGAGTGCTCATATCGTCACATATTCCTTCAAACCAGGCCAGTAAAATCGTTCTTCTCGATGGTTGATGGTTGGACGAACAAATGAATGAGAAAGCTTATGCGACATATTGAAGTGGTTGTGTCGATAATGTTTTGGCACGGCATATTAAGGTCTTCTTACATGTTATCACCTGCCCAATACACAGTTTAAGTGTGTTGTTTTGGAAGCTGGGCGAATTTAAGGTGGTCCATTCCTTGAAAACTGTTCAAGGAAGTTATACAAGACAAGGCTTCTGCAACTATACTGTTTGCACAAGAAATGTGTTGTACTTCTGAAGGACACTGAGAAATGTAGTCCAGTTGCCGAGACTTTCAAGGTGATTACTTGTCTGAAGATGAAATTAAAGACGTTTGTGATAGGTGAAAGGAGTGAATTCTCGGCCTTCAACAGAGTGCCGAAACAGTCGTATAGCACGACATATAGCTGGGAGTTCCCCACACAAAGTGATGAACGTGCATAATTGCTTGGTTGTAGTCGGTTCTGGACAATCTATAATGAACGCCAATTTGCTTTTCAGAGGTTTGATGCCTTGAGCATTCATAGTGTGTCCAAGAAAATTCACGGAGTCGGTGCCGACTTAGCATTTCTAAATGTTGACATTTATGCCATGTTTTTGTAATCATTCGAAGACAAGGTCCAGATGCTGGAGATGGGATTGTCTATTCGTACTTGCAGTCAGGCAGTCACCAACGTAAACATGTACGAAGTTGAGGCCTCGAAAGATGTCATCGAATAACCACTGGAAAGTCAGTGCATCATTTCTTAAGCAGCCATGGGAATTTAGTTATACTCTTTAACCAGGTCGGTTTTCAAGAAAGTAGTCATATTTTTGAAGGTAGCTGTCAAATCGTGAATGTGCGGAAACAGGTAACGGTCAGGAATGGTTTTGGCACTGAATTGCCGATAGTCGCCAGTTGGGTACCAATCATTGCTCTCCTTTTTAGGGATCATGTGCAAGGGAGATACCCATGGGCTGTTTGACAGTCGGATGATTTTTAAGTCTATCATATGATCGAATTCGTCTTTAGCCAACCTCGGCTTTTCGAAAGTTAGTCAGAGCGTTTTCGAGAATACAAACCATTTAACTCATCTTACCCATCCCTGTGATTGGATAAGTGGTTTAATTTCAGCAGCTAGGGATAGAAAAACGTGAGATTCCCAACTCTTTATATTCAAAACTATTATCAATAGAGCAGCTTAAGATCTTATAAAACACCTAAAGCACTTCTTCAAGTTAACAAAGTTTGAAGTTTCAGCATAACGTGGCGGTTACACAAAAATGGGTTCTGAGGGTTTTCCTGGACTTGGTTTAAATGAAGAAGATGAGAAACTCCTAAAGCAGTTATTGGAGTGTGGTTGCGGAATGAAAACAATACTGGCCTTTGCTAGTTCAAAACTGCTTAGGCCACTAACTTCTTGGGAAATCAAGATACTTCGCAATCAAGTTTTCCCTGGTTTGATTGATTGCATGAAATTATCCATATCAAGGTTCCAAGAAACTTTCGGATGTATTGGATGAAATACGTAAAGATTCTGTTGTATTCGTGGAGCAGTGTGACAGTGAGGTTACTCAAGTCTCTTTGTCACACTACGAACAGGTCGAGTTATATAAGCGGTTCCCTGAACTCCTTAGTTTCAGTGTCACTTACAACGTTAGTCTCAGGTGAGTGTTCAGTATTCTTTCCAACCTCCTAGATTTACTATTTTCCAAGTAGCCGTGTTAGATGGTCTTTTACGTTCAAGACCCATTATGTTCTCATTACATTCCACAGAGCAAACAGAAGATCTGTGCGTTTTGCTAAAGCATTTCCGTGAAATTTTTAAGGATGCTAGTTCAACCCTGACAGTAGCTGTAGATTGCCCAGTTTCTAAACCAGAGTTGGTGCAGGAATTCTTTCCAACTGCAAGGATTGTTCTGAGTTCATCATACGTTAGGAAGGTCTTCAAGAGAAAGGTATTATACATTCTCCTTCTTTAACGTACAAGTAGTTTAAAAGTCCCGTTGCAAACAATATTTTTGCTGGGTTGACATCTACCTTATGTCCAAACAAGTAAATGAAAACTTTATCCAACCTTTTCAGATTCAAACTTGATCTACAAAAGCTGAAGAAATTAGATTGTAAGGTTTATGATTACGTCACTCAGTATTGGATCCCTATAAAAGAAATGTGGGTGCCAGCGTTCTTACAAAATGTTGTTACATTAGGTACGAAAGTCAATGGTGTAGTAAAATGCGTTCATCCGCATATACGAGAAGCACTTAAAGAACATGACTCTTTAAAAGATTGCTTGATAGCTTTACATAAAGAAGCCAGAAAAAACTGTAACTTCTTACAAAATGAGGCATCTTTCAGCCTTCTCAAACATAAAAGGTTCAATGTAGACGAAAAGTTACATGAATTTCTCAATCAACTCACAGATTATGCTTCTGATAAAACCTACAGCGACATCGTACGCGAAAGTGACATCACCATTGAACAAGTTGAGAACGATGTCGTATTTTGTTCAGATGATGGGAATTCTTACAGAGTGGATAGAAATAATGGCGTGTGTTCTTGTTCACTAAATTCAGTTGAGTTGCTACCATGCAGACATCTCATTAAAGTCCACTTTTCTATCGGTTTGCATACGGGTAAGTTGGTTTGTATAAAATTTATTCTGGATCTAGGTACACCTTGTAGATACCCACGGTGGCTTAGATCTTATAATCTTCAACCACTATCAACTGCTCCGAAGAGGAATAGGCGAATTAACGTCAACAATGCTATGGCAATGGTCATTGGAAAATTAAAAATGTTAGAAGACCAGTGTTCACCGACTGTCGTTTTCGAAACTGTCGATCGAATAAATGCCATTATCGAAAAATCGACCATGGAAAATTTATGTATATCTCCCACCTCATCAGATTCATTTTAAATTAAATACTATCTATCTATAACATTCGAACGGCGCTTGAATCAGTCATTCGATCGAGTGATATACATTTATCGTTAATCCAAAAATATCTTTTTTGCTGTATAAATGATAACTGCCTTTAAACTCACTATTTTACAATCGTCTATGTATTTGTTATACATTTAATCCACAAAATGACAGTACTAAAGATAACATTTTTGCTCAACTGATACATCACATCGGGTAACAATCTACTCAAGACGAATCTTTCTATAATACAAAAGAAAAAGACAGTTCGACTACCAG